GCAGGGTGCCTCATGCCTGCTGCAGGGTGTCCTGTGCGTGCTGCAAATGTGCAGGGTGCCCCGTGCACTCTGCAGACTCGCACAGCGTCCCGTGTGCGCTGCGGGGTGTCCCATGCAGGATGCCCCATGTGCACTGCAGAGGTGCTGGGCACCTGGCACACGCTGCCTAGTACACGCTGCAGAGGTGCTGGGTGCACATTGCCCAGCACCACACAGAGGTGCTGGGTGCTTGGTCAACGCTAGAGAAATGCAGGGTGCAGGGTGTCCTATGCGCACTGCAGAGGTGCTGGGTGCCCRGTTTGTGCTGCAGAGGTGCAAGGCTCAGGGTGCCTGCAGCAGAGGTGCTGGATGCCCAGTATAGGGTGCGGGTACATGCTGCAGARGTGCWGGGTGCCTGGTACATGCTGCAGAGGTGCTGGGTGCCCAGTTTGTGCTGCAGAGGTGCAAGGCTCAGAGCACCTGCAGCAGGGGTGCTGCGCGTGCTGCACGGTGTGCAGTCGCGGGGTGACCAGTGGTGCCAGCTGCATGGGTGCCAGCTGCATGGGTGCCACCGCCCCCCCCCCCTCCCGCAGGGGCCGGTGCAGCAGCTCCCCACAGCGTTTGGGCCACCTGGGCCAAGGCTGCGTGGCCGCTCAGGGCGAAGGGCTGTGTTTGGGGTGCTCTGCCTGCCCCCCGTGGCTGTTTTGGAAACATGGCAGGGCAGGTGTCCCGCTTGCAGCTGTCCCTGCCCCACGGTCACTGCTCAGGCTCCTGGAAGCAGCCCTTGCTCTGGGGGAGGGCGATGCCTCGGCCTTCACAAGGAAGCAAGGACACGTGTCGTATTCCTGRTTTTGCCTCCCAACTCACCTCCACCATCAGCTCTTTGGGCAGCGAGGCCTGTCGGCGCGGACTGCACCATGGAGGAGCCGCAGCCCCACAGGCGGCCGTATTGCTGCTGCCATAGAGCCTTGTGGGTGACAGCACCCCAGAACGGCAGTGCTTTGGTGTCCTCAAGGCGCCACAAGGAAGCAGCGCTGCGGACGCTGCCTTCCGCCCTCTGCTTTCCCCAGGTTTCCCCTCCGTGCCTGGGAAGCTGGCAGAGGCGGCAGCAGGGTTGGCTGCAGGGTTGCGGCTGCCCTGCGGGCTGTGGCGCGTGACAGCGCTGCCGCGGGCGGGCGCCGTGACCCTGCGCCGTGTTGTCCGTGTCAACAGCGGCGGCCATGAGCGCGGCCCAGGCTGGGGGAGCGCCCGGCCCCACGCTGGGCAGCGCTCAGGACAGCCAGGACAGCGCTCAGGGCAGTGCTCAGGGCAGTCGGGCAGCGCTCAGGGCAGCCAGGACAGCGCTCAGGGCAGCTGGGCAGCACTCAGGGCCGCGCTCAGGGAAGCGCTCAGGGCAGCCGGGCAGCACTCAGGGCCGCGCTCAGGGAAGTGCTCAGGGAAGTGCTCAGGACAGCTGGGCAGCGCTCAGGACAGCCAGGACAGCGCTCAGGGCAGTCGGGCAGCGCTCAGGGCAGCCAGGACAGCGCTCAGGGCAGCTGGGCAGCACTCAGGGCCGCGCTCAGGGAAGTGCTCAGGGAAGCGCTCAGGACAGCTGGGCAGCGCTCAGGGCAGCCGGGCAGCACTCAGGGCCGCGCTCAGGGAAGCGCTCAGGGCAGCCGGGCAGCGCTCAGGGCAGCGCTCAGGGCAGTGTTCAGGGCAGCGCTCAGGGCCGCGCTCAGGCCGGCCGGGCCGCTGCCCGCAGCCGCCGCTTCCTCTCCTCCCGGCACAGACGCGAGGGCGGCGCTCACCGCGCTGCTGCCGCGGCCCCTTCCCGCCCTGTGGCGGCCATGGGCGACGAGGGCAGTGGGGCGGGTGCCGGGGCGGGCGCTGGGGCGGCTCAAGGACGGCCGCGCTGCCGCGAGGGGCCCYGCTGCGCCGCCCTGTTTACACCAAACACACGGCCCGTGCCAGCGCCATTAAAGCCCGGGGCGGGCAGCGGGCGGGCAGGTGGACGGGCGGATGCTGCGGGTGCACAGGAGCCGGCCCGGTGGGACAGCCACGGCCATGGGCACCCACGAGGCGCCCGCCRCTGTGGGGCCGGCCCTGGAGGGCGCCGCGCATGGTGAGTGGGGCAGGGGGGCCTGGCCACCACACGCTCCTGTGGGTTGTGTCCCCAGCCTGGGGCTGCGTGGGGCAATGTGTCCCCCAAYCCCCCTGGCTTCTGCGGCCTCTTTGCCAGCTCCGGGCAGCCCAGAGCCGCTCGGCTGCCTTCATGTTGAATGGTGCGAGGTGTRTGGGTGCAAGAGGGACACCCTCTGCCAGGGACGGCAGCAGTGCCAGCCCCTGCCAGGCGCCGTGGGAGTCCTTGTGCAGGGACAACCYGCCCTGGGATTCACGGGGAATCCCWCGGGAAGCCGGGGCCGCATTAACCCGCGCTTGCGGGAGCATGTGCTTGAATGGAGCCAGCTGGGGCAGGAACGGCCTCAGGCTGCCGCAGCGCTTCCCCCAGCAGCARAGCTGGACCTGAGCTGCTTTCGCTGAGCTTGAGCAGGGGCCAGGGTGAAGCAGATAAGCTGAGCCGCAGCCGGGCAGAGCTCGCTTGTAACGCTGGGGGAAACACCCCGCGTTCACTCTCTAGGAGGAGCTCAAACCCTGCTGTTGTGCTGCCCGAGGTGCCCTCGGCCCCGGGCACAGCACGACAGGCTCCTAGCCCTGCTGGGGACCATTTCTGTCCTGCCCCCGGGCCAGGCATCTGCAGCCTGATAGTGCCCAGGCCATGCAGGGAATGGTGGCCCCTGGCTCCTGCAGAACCCTCCTCGTATGCTTGGGGAGACCCTGGCACCTGCAGACCCCTCCCCGCGCTCCGGGAGGCCCCTCTCGTTGCAGACCATCCCACGCCTTCAGGTCGGGGGCCTCTCAGCTCCCCCAGCCTGCACGTCGGGCAGCCCGCAGCTCTGCTGCAGCGGCTCTGCGTCCCGCATTGCATTGCCGGGGACACCCCGCAAGGATTTGGTGGCCTCTGAGAGCTCTGTGATGCTGCTGCTCCCCCGGGCAGGAGGGGCCGCATCCTCGCTGCGCGCCCGAGGCAGGAGGCCTGGCAGGAGGTCCTGGGCAGGAGGTCGCGCTCAGCACAGTTCCCAGCAGGGCACCCCCACGAACACACAAGAGGCAGAAATACCGTATTGCTTCCAGCTATTGATGGAAGCGAGCGGCTCGGAGCCGCTCTCACTGGGGGTTAGACGCCATGCCCAGCTGTTCTCAGTGCTGGAACGACGCAGCCCAGCGCTGCCGGCTCCGACACTGCAGCCGGGCATGGGTGACGGGTCTGTGGGCGCGAGTGGGCTGGCGAGAATGGCCTGAGGGGTCTAGGCAGGCCAGGCCTCCTGCAGATACAGAACGGAGGGTCTTTGTCCTGCAGAGATGTTTGCCTCGTCTCCAGTCACGGTGGTGATCACATCGGAACCTGACACTTGGGACATCGATGCCTCCTCCTGTCTGGGCTGCGGACAGTTTGTGGATTGGGACAGGGTGCCAGATTTGGAGCAACAGGCAGATRTTCCCGGAGACATCCACACTAAGCCCAAAAAAGAGCTGAAGAGGCTGGCAAGAGAAGGCTACTGGGCGCCGAGCCGCGAGCTGAGAGCCCGCGTTTACCGCCAGCTCATCCAGCAGGTGCCCTGCCGGCTCGTGACTCCGGACGCTCTGGTCTACGTGGATGTAGCGGGACGGCTCTTTGGGAAGCAGAGCGTGAGCTCCCACCCTCTGCCCGACTTCCTCGAGGGCTGCCCCATGCCCACGTACTGCCTGAGCCTGGAAGGGGTCGCTGCGCTGAAGAAGATCCTCATCTGCCTCGGCAGCCAGTTCCCCGACATCACGTACAGCCCGGCGCTGCCCGCGCTGGCAGCGCTGCTGCTGCACTACAGCGACAGCGAGGCGCAGTGCTTCGAGGGCATCTCCCGCCTCATCGCCAGCAACGCCCCCCACACCAGCTACATCGACCAGTCCTTCCTGGCCCACCAGGCCTCCTGCATGACCTTCGGGGATCTGGCCAACAAGCACTGCCCGGCAGCTCACAGACTGATCGCCGGCAGCTCTGAGAACGTCTTTGAGGTCTACTCGGAATGGCTGTCGTGGCTCTTCTGCGAGCTCCCCTTCAGCTACGCCATACGTGTGTTTGATGTCTTCCTGCTCGAGGGGCAGAAGGTCCTCTACCGCATCGCTTTGGCCTTGCTGAA